CTACCCCTCTCTCTCTCATCTATAGATCTCTACCTCTCTCTCTCTCATCTATAGATCTCTACCTCTCTCTCTCATCTATAGATCTCTACCTCTCTCTCTCATCTATAGATCTCTACCCCTCTCTCTCATCTATAGATCTCTACCCCTTTCTCTCTCATCTATAGATCTCTACCTCTCTCTCTCTCTCTCATCTATAGATCTCTACCTCTCTCTCTCTCTCATCTATAGATCTCTACCTCTCTCTCTCTCATCTATAGAGCTCTACCCCTCTCTCTCTCTCATTTATAGATCTCTACCTCTCTCTCTCATCTATAGATCTCTATCTCTCTCTCATCTATAGATCTCTACCCCTCTCTCTCTCTCATCTATAGATCTCTACCCCTCTCTCTCTCATCTATAGATCTCTACCCCTCTCTCTCTCTCTCTCATCTATAGATCTCTACCTCTCTCTCTCTCTCTCATCTATAGATCTCTAACCCTCTCTCTCTCATCTATAGATCTCTACCCCTCTCTCTCTCTCATCTATAGATCTCTACCCCTCTCTCTCTCATCTATAGATCTCTACCTCTCTCTCTCTCTCATCTATAGATCTCTACCTCTCTCTCTCATCTATAGATCTCTACCTCTCTCTCTCATCTATAGATCTCTACCCCTCTCTCTCATCTATAGATCTCTACCCCTTTCTCTCTCATCTATAGATCTCTACCTCTCTCTCTCTCTCATCTATAGATCTCTACCTCTCTCTCTCTCTCATCTATAGATCTCTACCTCTCTCTCTCTCATCTATAGAGCTCTACCTCTCTCTCTCTCATCTATAGATCTCTACCTCTCTCTCTCTCATCTATAGAGCTCTACCTCTCTCTCTCATCTATAGATCTCTACCTCTCTCTCATCTATAGATCTCTACCTCTCTCTCTCTCAACTATAATCTCTACCCCTCTCTCTCTCTCTCTCATCTATAGATCTCTACCCCTCTCTCTCTCTCTCATCTATAGATCTCTACCTCGCTCTCTCTCTCATTTATAGATCTCTACCTCTCTCTCTTTCTCATCTATAGATCTCTACCCCTCTCTCTCTCTCATCTATAGATCTCTACCCCTCTCTCTCTCTCATCTATAGATCTCTACCTCTCTCTCTCATCTATAGATCTCTACCCCTCTCTCTCTCATCTATAGATCTCTACCCCTCTCTCTCTCTCATCTATAGATCTCTACCCCTCTCTCTCTCATCTATAGATCTCTACCTCTCTCTCATCTATAGATCTCTACCTCTCTCTCTCTCATCTATAGATCTCTACCCCTCTCTCTCATCTATAGATCTCTACCTCTCTCTCATCTATAGATCTCTACCTCTCTCTCTCTCATCTATAGATCTCTACCCCTCTCTCTCATCTATAGATCTCTACCTCTCTCTCATCTATAGATCTCTACCCCTCTCTCTCATCTATAGATCTCTACCCCTCTCTCTCATCTATAGATCTCTACCTCTCTCTCTCATTTATAGATCTCTACCCCTCTCTCTCTCATCTATAGATCTCTACCCCTCTCTCTCTCATCTATAGATCTCTACCTCTCTCTCTCTCTCATCTATAGATCTCTACCCCTCTCTCTCATCTATAGATCTCTACCTCTCTCTCTCTCATTTATAGATCTCTACCTCTCTCTCTCTCTCTCATCTATAGATCTCTACCCCTCTCTCTCTCTCTCATCTATAGATCTCTACCTCTCTCTCTCTCATCTATAGATCTCTACCCCTCTCTCTCTCTCTCTCATCTATAGATCTCTACATCTCTCTCATCTATAGATCTCTACCTCTCTCTCATCTATAGATCTCTACCCCTCTCTCTCATCTATAGATCTCTACCTCTCTCTCATCTATAGATCTCTACCTCTCTCTCATCTATAGATCTCTACCCCTCTCTCTCTCTCATCTATAGATCTCTACCCCTCTCTCTCTCATCTATAGATCTCTACCCCTCTCTCTCTCATGTATAGATCTCTACCTCTCTCTCTCTCATCTATAGATCTCTAACCCTCTCTCTCTCACCTATAGATCTCTACGTCTCTCTCTCTCTCATCTATAGATCTCTACCTCTCTCTCATCTATAGATCTCTACCCCTCTCTCTCATCTATAGATCTCTACCCCTCTCTCTCTCATCTATAGATCTCTACCCCTCTCTCTCATCTATAGATCTCTACCTCTCTTTCTCATCTATAGATCTCTACCCCTTTCTCTCATCTATAGATCTCTACCTCTCTCTCTCTCATCTATAGATCTCTACCTCTCTCTCTCATCTATAGATCTCTACCCCTCTCTCTCTCATCTATAGAGCTCTACCTCTCTCTCTCTCTCATCTATAGATATCTACCCCTTTCTCTCATCTATAGATCTCTACCCCTGTCTCTCTCTCATCTATAGATCTCTACTTCTCTCTCTCTCTCATCTATAGATCTCTACCCCTCTCTCTCTCATCTATAGATCTCTACCCCTCTCTCCCTCTCATCTATAGATCTCTACCTCTCTCTCTCTCATCTATAGATCTCTACCCCTCTCTCTCTCTCATCTATAGATCTCTACCTCTCTCTCTCTCATCTATAGATCTCTACCTCTCTCTCTCATCTATAGATCTCTACCTCTCTCTCTCATCTATAGATCTCTACCCCTCTCTCTCTCATCTATAGATCTCTACCTCTCTCTCTCATCTATAGAGCTCTACCTCTCTCTCTCATCTATAGATCTCTACCTCTCTCTCTCATCTATAGATCTCTACCTCTCTCTCTCATCTATAGATCTCTACCTCTCTCTCTCTCATCTATAGATCTCTACCCCTCTCTCTCATCTATAGATCTCTACCTCTCTCTCATCTATAGATCTCTACCCCTCTCTCTCTCTCTCATCTATAGATCTCTACCCCTCTCTCTCTCTCTCATCTATAGATCTCTACCCCTCTCTCTCTCTCTCATCTATAGATCTCTACCCCTCTCTCTCTCTCTCATCTATAGATCTCTACCTATCTCTCTCGTCTATAGATCTCTACCTCTCTCTCTCATCTATAGATCTCTACCCTCTCTCTCTCTCATCTATAGATCTCTACCTCTCTCTCTCTCATCTATAGATCTCTACCCCTGTCTCTCTCTCATCTATAGTTCTCTACCCCTCTCTCTCTCTCTCATCTATAGATGTCTACCCCTCTCTCTCTCTCATCTATAGATATCTACCCCTCTCTCTCTCTCATCTATAGATCTCTACCTCTCTCTCTCATCTATAGATCTCTACCCCTCTCTCTCTCATCTATAGATCTCTACCCCTCTCTCTCTCATCTATAGATCTCTACCCCTGTCTCTCTCTCATCTATAGATCTCTACCCCTCTCTCTCTCTCATCTATAGATCTCTACCTCTCTCTCTCATCTATAGATCTCTACCCCTCTCTCTCTCATCTATAGATCTCTACCTCTCTCTCTCATCTATAGATCTCTACCCCCCTCTCTCTCTCATCTATAGATCTCTACCCCTCTCTCATCTATAGATCTCTACCCCTCTCTCTCTCATCTATAGATCTCTACCTCTCTCTCTCTCATCTGTAGATCTCTACCCCTCTCTCTCTCTCATCTATAGATCTCTACCTCTCGCTCATCTATAGATCTCTACCCCTCTCTCTCTCATCTATAGATCTCTACCTCTCTCTCTCTCATCTATAGAGCTCTACCTCTCTCTCTCATCTATAGATCTCTACCCCTCTCTCTCTCATCTATAGATCTCTACCTCTCTCTCTCTCATCTATAGATCTCTACCTCTCTCTCTCTCTCATTTATAGATCTCTACCCCTCTCTCTCTCTCATCTATAGATCTCTACCCCTCTCTCTCTCATTTATAGATCTCTACCTCTCTCTCTCTCATCTATAGATCTCTACCCCTCTCTCTCATCTATAGATCTCTACCCCTCTCTCTCTCTCTCATCTATAGATCTCTACCTCTCTCTCTCTCATCTATAGATCTCTAACCCTCTCTCTCATCTATAGATCTCTACCTCTCTCTCTCTCATCTATAGATCTCTACCCCTCTCTCATCTATAGATCTCTACCTCTCTCTCTCTCATCTATAGATCTCTACCCCTCTCTCTCATCTATAGATCTCTACCTCTCTCTCTCATCTATAGATCTCTACCCCTCTCTCTCTCATCTATAGATCTCTAACCCTCTCTCTCATCTATAGATCTCTACCTCTCTCTCATCTATAGATCTCTACCTCTCTCTCTCTCATCTATAGATCTCTACCTCTCTCTCTCATCTATAGATCTCTACCCCTCTCTCTCTCATCTATAGATCTCTACCTCTCTCTCTCTCATCTATAGATCTCTACCCCTCTCTCTCATCTATAGATCTCTACCCCTCTCTCTCTCTCTCATCTATAGATCTCTACCCCTCTCTCTCTCTCATCTATAGATCTCTACCCCTCTCTCTCTCATCTATAGATCTCTACCTCTCTCTCTCTCATCTATAGATCTCTACCCCTCTCTCTCATCTATAGATCTCTACCCCTCTCTCTCTCTCTCATCTATAGATCTCTACCCCTCTCTCTCTCTCTCATCTATAGATCTCTACCCCTCTCTCTCTCTCTCTCATCTATAGATCTCTACCTCTCTCTCTCTCATCTATAGATCTCTACCCCTCTCTCTCATCTATAGATCTCTACCCCTCTCTCTCTCTCATCTATAGATCTCTACCTCTCTCTCTCTCATCTATAGATCTCTATCTCTCTCTCATCTATAGATCTCTACCCCTCTCTCTCATCTATAGATCTCTACCCCTCTCTCTCTCTCATCTATAGATCTCTACCTCTCGCTCATCTATAGATCTCTACCTTTCTCGATGAATGCATTGCCTCCGTAGAGTACGTCTGCGGCTCAGTTGAACGCACGACACCTACAACCAACTGAAGCTTCCAGCACGTCAAGTGGCTCCTGTTAAAGGTTCCTCATCGGTGTTGTCTCGTTTGCAGTGTCTTCAAGAAAACCAGCTCCAATGGGAAGGTAAGAGTGGGCGGGTGGGCGAGTGATTGGTAAGTTGACTAAACACTGGGTGTTTGAAAACGACGGAACACGATTTGAAATCGCGAAATCTCTTCAACCACGGACCGCCCATGAATGAAATTCTTACCACTTGAGAGGGTGGGGCGTAGAGAGGGCGGGGCATAGAGAGGGCGAGGCATAGAGAGGGCGGGGCATACAGAGGGCGGGGTATAGAGAGGGCGGGGCATAGAGAGGGCGGGGCATAGAGAAGGCAGGGTATAGAGAGGGCGGGGTATAGAGAGGGCGGGTGTAGAGAGGGCGGGGCATAGAGAGGGCGGGGCATAGAGAAGGCGGGGTATAGAGAGGGCGGGGTATAGAGAGGGCGGGGCATAGAGAAGGTGGGGCATAGAGACGGCGGGGCATACAGAGGGCGGGGCATAGAGAGGGCGGGGTATAGATAGGGCGGGGCATAGAGAAGGTGGGGCATAGAGAGGGCGGGGCATACAGAGGGCGGGGCATAGAGATGGCGGGGCATAGAGATGGCAGGGCATAGAGATGGCGGGGCATAGAGAGGGCGGGGCATATAGAGGGCGGGGCATAGAGGGGGCGGGGCATAGAGAGGGGCGGGGCACAGAGTTTCAAATGATTACCGTGAGATGCCTCTCACAGCTCACAAACAGCCCCTAGCCTCAGTCGTTCGCTAGACAACACTGCCTCAACGTTGGACAGGTGGCCACGTGACGCCCTTGGCCCCCAAGATCACCCCCCAGACATCGCCACACCCTGCCAAAGACCCGTGGTGTTTTTGTGCCACCATTTAGCGGCTAATCTGGATGACCTCGCAAACAGAATTATGGCAGCGGTGACTTCAGTGGAAGAGAAGACATTTCGAGAGGCGTTTCGGGACGAATTCAACTATCGTCTCGATGTTGTCCGCACAGCGGGTGTGGAGGGCGCGTAGAGCATTTATAAAATGGTCAAATATACTGCTTTGAAATTGGGTCCATTATTTTAAACACCCTGTATATAGGTGAGTGAGTAGATGCGTGAGGGGTTTGTGCTAGAGAGTGAGTGAGTGGGTGAGTGAGTGAGTGGGTGAGTGAGTGAGTGGGTGAGTGAGTGGGTGGGTGAGTGTGTGGGTGAGTGAGTGGGTGGGTGAGTGTGTGGGTGAGTGAGTGGGTGAGTGAGTGGGTGAGTGAGTGAGTGGGTAGATGGGTGAGTGAGTGAGTGAGCGGGTGAGTGAGTGAGTGGGTAGATGAGTGATTGGGTGAGTGTGTGAGTGAGTGGATGAGTGAGTGAGTGAGTAGGTGAGTGAGTGGATGAGTGAGTGGGTGAGTGGGTGAGTGATTGGGTGAGTGAGTGTGTGAGTGAGTGGATGAGTGAGTGAGTGAGTAGGTGAGTGAGTGGATGAGTGAATGGGTGAGTGAGTAGATGAGTGAGTGAGTGGATGAGTGAGTGAATGAGTGAGTGGATGAGTGAGTGGGTGAGTGAGTAGATGAGTGAGTGAGTGGATGAGTGAGTGGATGAGTGAGTGGGTGAGTGAGTGGATGAGTGAGTGGATGAGTGAGTGGATGAGTGAGTGGGTGAGTGAGTAGATGAGTGAGTGAGTAGATGAGTGAGTGAGTGGATGAGTGAGTGGATGAGTGAGTGGGTGAGTGAGTGATGAGTGAGTGGATGAGTGAGTGGATGAGTGGATGAGTGAGTGGGTGAGTGAGTAGATGAGTGAGTGAGTGGATGAGTGAGTGGATGAGTGAGTGAGTGGATGAGTGAGTGGATGAGTGAGTGGGTGAGTGAGTGAGTGGATGAGTGATTGGATGAGTGAGTGGATGAGTGAGTGGATGGGTGAGTGAGCGAGTCAATGCTCACCACTGGTGGTGCTGTGTACCTGACTGTGCTCCGTTGGACTCCACGTGGTGGACTCCGTGGTGGACTCCGTGGTGGACTCAGGTGACAGTCTACATGGCAAAAACGAGACTTTATCGACATCTGGACCACGTGGATCCTGTTTGGTAAGTAATCATCAGCAGCATCATCTGCATCATCATCAGCATCATAATCAGCATCATCATCAGCATCATCAGTGGCATCAACATGAGCATTGCCATCATCATCAGGAGCATCATCATTATCAGCAGTAGCATACAAATCCGCTTCGTCTGGCACCTGCTGGGTCTGTCACGTGACCTCCTCCTGCACCTAGCCTGGCACAGTAGGGGGGTACAGCTGGTGGTGCATCTACCGGTCATCTCGTTCAGTCAACCCATGGCACCTGCTGGGTCTGTCACGTGACCTCCTCCTGCACCTAGCCTGGCACAGTAGGGGGTTACAGCTGGTCGTGAATCTACCGGTCATCTCTTGTCAGCCGACCCCGTGGCACCTGCTGGGTCTGTCACGTGACCTCCTCCTGCACCTAGCCTGGCACAGTAGGGGGGTTACAGCTGGTGGTGAATCTACCGGTCATCTCGGTCAGCTGACCCGTGGCACCTGCTGGGTCTGTCACGTGACCTCCTCCTGCCAGCGGCGAGCCTTCGACACTTCACGTGGCAGCCTCAAATTGGTGCACCTAGCCTGGCACGGGCGCCGTTGTGACGTCACCGCCACTTCGTGGCGGAATGGCGGGTGTTGGCATCGGAAGTGGGGAGCGGTGGGTTGCTAGTGGTTAGCGCTACGCCGTGCTACGAACCCGTAGACCCGGGTTCAATTCCCGCTGACGGCCAAAAAACCGGTGACGATTATCTGATCCGGTAGTGGGCCTCCCCTAGGTCGACTCAGCCTCAATCGAGTAGCTGGTGTAGCGGTGTGTAGTGAACATCGCCACTGGGGGGAGACAAAGGCGGCCGGGCGTGGTGCTGGTAGCCACCCACCCCCCTCGTGTGCCACAGTGCCGGTAGCCTTCACAGGTGCTGCTCGCTAACAACACTTGCCCCTACAGCCTGTTAGAGGCTACACGGGGGACATTTGTCTGTGTCTACCTTCACAGGTGCTGCTGCTACTCGCTACTAACAGCACTTGCCCCTACAGCCTGTTAAAGGCTAACGGGGGGACCTTTGTCTGTGTTACCTTCACAGGTGCTACTGCTACTCGCTACTCACAGCACTTGCCCTACAGCCTGTTAGAGCTACACGGGGGACCTTTGTCTGTGTCTACCTTCACAGTGCTGCTGCTACTAACAGCACTTGGCCCTACAGCTGTTAGAGGCTACACGGGGGACCTTTGTCTGTGTCTCTGTGTGTCTCACAGACTGGTGTCGTCTATGTCTCGATCCGGCGTACATCAAAGGCGCAAAGGTAACGGGACAAAGGGGGGGGGGGCCGGGGGGGGCGGGCCGGGGGGGGCCGAGGGGCGGGGTTTGGTTTGAAATAATGGGGCCGTCCATAAATGACGTCACTTTCAACTATTGTCACATTGTAGTTGCGTGTTCAATGTGGCGTTGCTGCACTCTGACGTTGCAGGAGAAAACATTTATCTTTAAAAAAAAAGTCTATTTAATTAAGTAGAACGTGTTGCGCCTATATTTATTTATTTATAAAGTTGCGCGTTTTGATGTGACGTCACAACTCTCAAACCCCGCCCCTCCTCCTCCACGTCGGACCCCCTAGGTGCGTGACGTCATTTATGTACGGCACCAAAATTTAAAAAAATAAAAACATGAACGTGCCACTGTGACTGTTGCCCAGAGTGGTGGTTGTTGTTGTTGTTATTGGCGTTGTTTGTTGTTGTTGTTATTGGCGTTGTTGTCCTTGCTATTGCCGGCGGCTGTTGCCGTGCCCCTTGCAGTGTTCGTGTCCCTGATTGGCTACTGACGTGGTCATTGTCGTGGTTATTGTCGTGGTTATTGTCGTGGTTATTGTTGTGGCCATTGTTGTGGTCATTGTCGTGGTTATTGGCTTGGTTATTGTCGTGGTTATTGTTGTGGTTATTGTCGTGGTCATTGTCGTGGTCATTGTCTTGGTTATTGTCGTGGTTATTGTTGTGGTTATTGTTGTGGTTATTGTTGTGGTTATTGTTGTGGTTATTGTCGTGGTTATTGTCGTGGTTATTGTCGTGGTCATTGTCGTGGTCATTGTTGTGGTCATTGTTGTGGTCATTGTTGTGGTTTTTGTCGTGGTCATTGTCGTGGTCATTGTTGTGGTTATTATCGTGGTTATTGTTGTGGTTATTGTCGTGGTTATTGTTGTGGTCATTGTCGTGGTTATTGTCGTGGTTATTGTCGTGGTTATTGTCGTGGTCATTGTCGTGGTCATTGTCGTGGTCATTGTCGTGGTTATTGTCGTGGTTATTGTTGTGGTTATTGTCGTGGTTATTGTTGTGGTTATTGTTGTGGTTATTGTCGTGGTCATTCTCGTGGTCATTGTCGTGGTTATTGTCGTGGTTATTGTTGTGGTTATTGTCGTGGTTAATGTTGTGGTTATTGTCGTGGTTATTGTTGTGGTTATTGTCGTGGTCATTGTTGTGGTTATTTTTGTGGTTATTGTCGTGGTCATTGTCGTGGTTATTGTCGTGGTCATTGTCGTGGTTATTGTCGTGGTCATTGTTGTGTCATTGTTGTGGTCATTGTCGTGGTCATTGTCGGTGGTCATTGTCGTGGTTATTGTCGTGGTTATTGTCGTGGTCATTGTCATGGTCATTGTTGTGGTCATTGTTGTGGTTATTGTTGTGGTTATTGTTGTGGTTATTGTCGTGGTTATTGTCGTGGTTATTGTTGTGGTTATTGCCGTGGTTATTGTCGTGGTTATTGTCGTGGTTATTGTCGTGGTTATTGTCGTGGTCATTGTCGTGGTTATTGTCGTGGCCATTGTCGTGGTTATTGTCGTGGTTATTGTCGTGGTCATTGTCGTGGTCATTGTCGTGGTCATTGTCGTGGTTATTGTCGTGGTCATAGTCGTGGTCATTGTTGTGGTTATTGTCGTGGTTATTGTCGTGGTTATTGTCGTGGTTATTGTCGTGGTTATTGTCGTGGTCATTGTCATGGTCATTGTTGTGGTCATTGTTGTGGTTATTGTTGTGGTTATTGTTGTGGTTATTGTCGTGGTTATTGTCGTGGTTATTGTTGTGGTTATTGCCATGGTTATTGTCGTGGTTATTGTCGTGGTTATTGTCGTGGTTATTGTCGTGGTTATTGTCGTGGCCATTGTCGTGGTTATTGTCGTGGTTATTGTCGTGGTCATTGTCGTGGTCATTGTCGTGGTTATTGTCGTGGTTATTGTCGTGGTTATTGTCGTGGTCATTGTTGTGGTTATTGTTGTGGTTATTGTCGTGGTTATTGTTGTGGTTATTGTCGTGGTTATTGTTGTGGTTATTGTCGTGGTCATTGTTGTGGTTATTGTCGTGGTTATTGTTGTGGTCATTGTCGTGGTTATTGTTGTGGTTATTGTCGTGGTTATTGTCGTGGTTATTGTCGTGGTCATTGTTGTGGTTATTGTTGTGGTTATTGTCGTGGTTATTGTTGTGGTTATTGTCGTGGTTATTGTTGTGGTTATTGTCGTGGTCATTGTTGTGGTTATTGTCGTGGTTATTGTTGTGGTCATTGTCGTGGTTATTGTTGTGGTCATTGTTGTGGTCATTGTCGTGGTTATTGTCGTGGTTATTGTTGTGGTCATTGTTGTGGTCATTGTCGTGGTTATTGTCGTGGTTATTGTCGTGGTCATTGTCGTGGTCATTATCGTGGTTATTGTCGTGGTCATTGTCGTGGTCATTGTTGTGGTTATTGTTGTGGTTATTGTCGTGGTCATTGTTGTGGTTATTGTCGTCGTTATTGTCGTGGTTATTGTCGTGGTTATTGTCGTGGTCATTGTCGTGGTCATTGTTGTGGTCATTGTCGTGGTCATTGTTGTGGTCATTGTCGTGGTCATTGTCGTGGTCATTGTCGTGGTCATTGTCGTGGTTATTGTCGTGGTTATTGTTGTGGTTATTGTCGTGGTTATTGTCGTGACCATTGTCGTGGTTATTGTCGTGGTTATTGTTGTGGTTATTGCTGTGGTCATTGTCGTGGTTATTGTCGTGGTTATTGTTGTGGCCATTGTCGTGGTCATTGTCGTGGTCATTGTCGTGGTCATTGTCGTGGTCATTGTCGTGGTCATTGTCGTGGTTATTGTCGTGGTCATTGTCGTGGTTATTGTCGTGGTCATTGTCGTGGTCATTGTTGTGGTCATTGTCGTGGTTATTGTCGTGGTTATTGTCGTGGTTATTGTCGTGGTTATTGTCGTGGTTATTGTCGTGGTCATTGTCGTGGTTATTGTCGTGGTCATTGTCGTGGTTATTGTTGTGGTTATTGTCGTGGTTATTGTTGTGGTTATTGTCGTGGTTATTGTCGTGGCTATTGTCGTGGTCATTGTTGTGGTTATTGTCGTGGTTATTGTCGTGGTCATTGTTGTGGTTATTGTCGTGGTTATTGTCGTGGTCATTGTTGTGGTTATTGTCGTGGTCATTGTCGTGGTCATTGTTGTGGTTATTGTTGTGGTCATTGTCGTGGTTATTGTCGTGGTTATTGTTGTGGTCATTGTCGTGGTTATTGTTGTGGTCATTGTCGTGGTTATTGTCGTGGTTATTGTTGTGGTTATTGTCGTGGTCATTGTCGTGGTCATTGTCGTGGTTATTGTTGTGGTTATTGTTGTGGTTATTGTGTGGTCAATTGTCGTGGTCATTGTCGTGGTTATTTGTCGTGGTTCATTGTCGGTGGTTCATTGTCGTGGTTATTGTCGTAGGTCATTGTCGTGGTTCATTGTTCGTGGTCATTGTCGTGGTCCATTGTCGTGGTTCATTGTCGTGGTTATTGTCGTGGTCATTGTCGTGGTCATTGTCGTGGTCATTGTCGTGGTTATTGTCGTGGTTATTGTCGTGGTTATTGTCGTGGTCATTGGTCGTGGTCATTGTCGTGGTCATTGTCGTGGTTATTGTCTGTGTTATTGTTGTGGTTATTGTTCGTGTTCATTGTCGTGGTTATTGTCGTGGTCATATGTCGTGGTCATTGTCGTGGTTATTGTCGTGGGTTATTGTTGTGGTTATTGTCGTGGTTCATTGTCGTGGTCATTGTCTGTGGTTATTGTCGTGGTTATTGTCGTGGTCATTGTTGTG